TAGAGATATACCCCAAGCGACTTGCAGCTGTAATTGCAGAAAAACAAAGCAGTTACAAAGTATTAGCGCAAGGGGGCCGAATAATATTGCCTTACGGGGCTTTCACACCACCAACGCTGAAGCCCCGCTCACCAGACGCGCATTCACTAGTTTTCAGACGCAGAGGACTTCACACCAGAACGTCCTGTCGCGAGCCGGAAGTACCGGAGGTAGCCGGCCGGCCGGCTCTGATGCTAACAGAGCTATGCTAGCGGCTTCCCGTGTACAGATCTTCTCCAATATGCAGCTTTGCCGCGTGTCTTTGCTCACAGACATTCCACGGGCTTTATACAACAGCAGTATGTGTTCACGGAGGTGCGTCATATGTGTTTTCATATTATTAAACGGTATTTCCGCATCGGCGAACACACTCGAAGCAGTTGCATAAGGTCACGGGAGCATGACATCGCATATTTTCACAAGCACAGAGTCCCCCATTGTCAACCCTGGTTTGAGTTCTGGTGAAGCCTGGTGTGGGTCCTGTTTTGGCTGTTTACGAGTATTTTCAGTCTGCTCGCTCAGTCCGCTGATGTCCCCGTGACCACTTTGCTGCTCTCTGATTGGTTGTCGCACGAACGTCCCAAGGAAAGGATGAGCAGAATCCATCTCCTGTGGGCGTCCATTTTTTGCTCCTTCTCCTCCCCTTTGACTTTCCTGCCTAGTCCCTGCGTCTCTACTGAACAGTCCGTTCGTGCGAACCGAGCGGTCCGTGCGTTGCGACGGCCGAACGCGCGACACCATAGACTTTGCATTGAAACCCGACGCAACGCATGATCCGGACTGAAAGCACCATTACACAGACAAGAGTCACCAAGCACTTTACACGTTACATATATGTGTTTTTTTGTGTTATCTACATAGGCCATGTGACTTCCCTCCCATCGCTTTGGGCGGCTTCAAAGGACTGGGACGGCTCACGGAGGATGGTGGACACACTCGCGACCACACTTCCCCCAATGTGGACCAGAGGAATAAGAACCAATCACAGTCTGGGGCCAAAGAAATCATATGTTTATTATTGTGTAAAAGCTACTGAAATAAATACATCGGTGTTAGCTCAATGCTAGTTTTTTTAAACCGTTATCAATCTGTTTTTTGTGGTAGAGGAAACTGTAGCACCTGGAAGAAACCTACAGTACACAGACTCAGGGAGAACATGCAAACTCCAGGTAGAAATGGGACTCTACATGTTGCTAAGAGGCGAGAGCTCTAACCACTGATGCCATGATGACTTGGTCTCAGAGACGTTCTGAATCTGAAGCTGCTTTATGGACTAAGAATACCAATATGAGCTTTAAAAATAAGTTAAATTTGACTATTTTCTTGATTAGGTTGTAGCATTATATATATATCTTGTTCTAAATTAGAACTTTATCAAAAAGGGCCAAACTACGGGTGATGTGAACCTGCATGAATAATTCCAATGACTTAGTCCGCGAACATGTCGTGAGCAGCAGTTTCCCTCGGCGCCCAGTCCAACTCCAGCCACAGACACAATCACAACACGGTAATAGTCATAATGAGGCTGCTGCCGGGCTATTAACCTTGTAAACACACAAATCTCACGTCTGGGCCAAACTGTTTACAGAAGGCGTTGAGGTCCTCGGTTGGTGGTCTCATTCTTGTGTGCAGGTAAAGCGGTGGGAAAGGCCTCGTCTGAAACAGGCTCATTATTCAGCAATGACTCATCATTTCCATGTTTAGTTTTGGAAATGAAGGAGAGATGTTAAAGTGGGTACAACTTTTGAATTATAAAAACTCATCAGCAAGTCTCAACTCAACTTTATTCATGAAGCGCTTTAAAAACACCAAAGTGCTTATTAAAGACAACATGTATTTGTCATAGTCTGTAGATATCGGTTACATGTCGGTACGTGTGAGTTCAGTTCAGTCTGCAAATTTATTTTACCTGCCTCTATCAGTTTTCTGCTGTTTAATGATTGCAATTAATTTTTTGAATGGATGGTTGAGTGGGAATGGGAAGTTATACCAGCATCAGGCTAATGTTATATTATATTATACATGATTTGAACCCTTTAGGCTCAATTTTGACATCTTAGTTTCGTAATAACTTTAACGTGATAAGAGATAGAAGATTTTTGTAAATTAAAGACATTTTAAGGATGGCCCAAAGTTTATGTAAAAACGTATATGGGTACATTTATTTGCAAATTAGGATTTCATATGGGGTGGCAATTGTGGATTTTCATGATTTCTTTTTTTTTTTATTTCTTTTTTTTTTTTACTGACAGACATACAAATCACTAGGACATGAACACACAAACAGTACCCAGATTAATGCCTGTTCTGTTTTTTATGTTAGTAATCTCATTCATAACTGATTGGCCTCTTCATAATGACAGGTCTATAGCAACACATGATAAACGTACATCTGAAAATAAAAACATATGACTTTTCCTTATACATTTCAACCATGCCTGCTTGTCAGTGTGTCAGATCTAAGACGCTAAAGGTGTCAGGACTCGGTTTGTGAGGCTGCTGTAACATGTTGCTGTGTCCTAAAGCCAGGTACCTTACCCACAATGCTTTGTAACGGTGTGCACATATGCCTGGTGCAGTGTGGCAGCCTCCTTTCCGTCTAACCAAAGTAGCTTCCCACCACTGTGTGTATAAAAGCACACTTCTGGGCATTCAACTGAAGGATAACGCAGGATTGTCACTTCGTAAATCATCCGAATACCATTATGAGTATGAAGGAGCGCAAAAATGTTATATTTGAGAGAAAAAAATGAATATCCTCTATGTTCCGGTTTAATTGAGCTGTGTTTTCTGGCCTCAAAGAGCAGGACAAAGTGATTCATGTCCACTATTATACATAATAACTCAGGGCCATAAAATATGCACACCTTTTACTATTATAATACACTCATTCAGCCTTTTCCACATCTGTCTGCTCCGAATGGCAGGGTAATGGTTTGATTTTGGGAAAGCTGCCACTGTATACACATTCATCATATTGAACCTGAAGAGATCCAGATTCTCACAGGATACAATGAAAATATTGATCAGTCTCTTCTCCGGAGCATAAATCACATTACTATAAAGGTTATCGCAAAACAGCTGGATGTCTCTCAGATGGATCATTGTTATCTGACAAAGCTGGGTACTATTGATTTTGTTTTCAATTTTTCACCTTTGTTCCACATTACACTTGATCAACACCTGAGATATTTGGAGTGGATTATTTTCCAACATAAACACTATGTTTAGTACATGAATTGCCATTAATGATGATGCAAAGTGGGCAGGCTAAAAGTGAACTAAGGAAAAGCCTATAATGTATGTATGAATGTATGTGTTTGTTCGTAGACTGTATATTAGATATTAGATCTAATATACAGATCAATGGTACCCAATAGGAAGGTGCTCATGGACAAAGTTTATCTCCAACTTTCTCTGCCTTCTATAACTTACAGTGAAAACTGCTCTTGCTCAGTCACCATTTGTGTCACACTCCCTATTTTGGGCTTAAAACATCTGTGGTTTTGCGCTTTCTAGATATCAGCCATAGATATGAGCCATAAGAATTTACCAACTAGATGCCTGAATTTGCGGGGGAAACTCCAGCTTGTCCTATCAACACTAGCTAGCATAAGTTCTAATCTGCAAGCAGCAAACACTGTGACGTCAGCACCACACGGTCAGTCCACTCCTTATTTATGGTCTATGGTATGTATGCTTCTATATGTACATGTAAATCATGCATATTAGTTTAAACAATTATAAATCCTGATATTATTTAAAAAAAAGAGTTTGAAAACACATCAGAGGCAAACTAGCTGCTAAATATCCAGAATGCTTTGGTTTCAGATGATAAAAACACAATTAAAACTAATAATCTTTAGTGCCGTTTTAAGCAACACAAAGTCACAAATGAGGAATTTTCTTTGGCAGATGGTGCAAACAAGTTCTAAAAGTAAAACATAGATATGAATTCATATCCTAAGCCTTAAGGCATGCATACAAAATCTTAATAAAACGTTGCTGAATGAATGAATGATTCAAAACTTAAAATGTGTTAATGTAGATTGTGTGGTCAACAACTATACATCCATCCATTTTTCTCCTTCCCCTTAATCCATTTCTGGGTTGGGGGGTGGTTGTCAGAGCTGCACCAAGTCCACGTAGCACCAGCCCCTCACTGATCCTCCTGAAAATGGTAATTTTCTCTTACCATGTTTTTTTCCTCCTGCAGATGGTGAGTCCACAGGAGCCTTGATCTTTCAGCGGGGGCTTCAGGCAAAGTGGGTTTAAGTGTCTTGCCCAAGGATAAAACGACAGCAGTGGGAGTCATGAAGTAGGTCTTGTGGTGGGCTCGAACCCACGACCTTCAGCCTCGAAGGCCAATGCTCTACCAACTGAGCCACTCTCGCCACACAGTCATCAACTAATCAGTTAATTGTCTCTTACCATTTTTTTTCCTCCAAAATTCCTATGGTGATTTTGTGCGGGGCATTTTTATTCTTGAACCAGGAAGCTCCACGGCCTCCGCCCATATATTTTTTCCAAGCACATGAAAAAACGAACAATATCATCATTCTTCTTTTTTCACTTTAAACTCTGTTAGTTCTGTTCACAACACATGGTCATGACAGGCCAAAACGTGCTGATAAATGCTGAAGAGCTGTCAGCTGAGGAGAGAGATTGTGTGATGTGTGACCCCCGTGCTACTACTTATGTCACAATGCAAGAACAAATTACGACCCCTGGACCCTGGAACACATTCAGACAGTCGAACCATAGCACAATCTGACATCTTAAACAGTGCTGTAATATGAACCTGTCCCTCATACGTCTCCCATAATGTATCTTTTCAGCAGCCGCTCACTTTGTTTTAAGCAGACATGAGTTACGACACTTGCTCACCGGGGGGAAAGCTTTGGGTTCCATTGGTGTCATTGTTTTGTGATTTACGTTATGTGTCTCCTGTGTTTTCCCAGCCAGAGCAAAAACTTGAAGAGGGTTTTTGGCCAATCAGGAGGGAGAAGTGTGCAGGGTCAGTGGTGTGCGTGGCTGTCCCCTGGGGAGCTGATGTCTTCCAAAGCTCCAGCATGTCTGCGAGGAGAGGGGGCTCTGTGGGGGGCTCAGCCAGTCAGAGGTGTTCAGCAGAGCTTAAATGGCCTGTTGGTGAGTGCTTCTGTGACTGACCACCCTTAACACAGGTTCCTGAAGTCGTGCTGGATCAGCTTTATATTTAGAGTAAAAACTATCCAACCCATAGCCACGTCCCAATACATTCATAATTCACCTCAGTCTAAATACATCCCTTAAAGGTATTTAGGGAGAGTTTTGAGAGGTCTTTAGATTAAAAATGTGATGTGTATGCCATTAATGGGAACGCCATGTTTGTTTATCTAACCGGTTAGCAGCTAATGCCAGTCAATATGGCAAAAATGGAAAAGCAGCAAAGTTAAGCCGTTTTGGACCTAAATTAAACCTTTTTTTTTTTTTTTTTCAGAAAGGTGGAATTTCTAGGAAAACCAACCTAAACACTTAGAATTATTCAATTACATTTTTTTATAGCTCGAAATAGTAGTCTGAGGGACTATTGAGAGAATCAAACAGTTTGAAAACAGGTAATACAATATTTTTGAGAAATTGCTAAACCTATACATTTTCTGAGAGGAGATTGTATTTACACATTATTTGATCTTCTGAATTATCTTATAATTTCATGGTGAATACAATAGAAAACTCCAGGTAATAAAGTCTATCTTATCCTATATAATTCTGAGAAGAGTCCCCAGGTCAGGTGTTTTACTAATTATCATTACTATTTTGAACATTTAGAATATGAAGCCCTTCCACTCCATTCCATTCCTTTTTCTTCCGCTTCATCCATTGCCGGGTCGCGGGGGCAGCAGTCTAAGCAGAGACACCCAGACTTCCCTAAAATATGAAGCATTGATCCAAAACTATTTCATAAACAAATCATCCGACTTCAATATTTGAATTCACAAGTGGGTAAAGAGAGAGAAGAAAACAATCATGACTTGGTGAAAGGCTCTACACGCCCCTTTTGATGATGCAATTCTCACTCTGCTTCATCTTTTCCCAATAAGACATGCCAAATTCCAGCTGTAATTAAATAAACTGTAATAATATGAGTGAGTAATGAAGAAAACCTTTCAAATTTGTGTCAACTGAGCCATCGTAGTGTGTTAAAATATTGCACCTGGAACCTCGGCTGTCAGTCTCCCTGTACATCAACGTCAGACGCGCCACTTTCAAACTTCTTACGCGCGTTGGAGCTTTGGTGTTCAAAAACTCAGAGCACCAAACACTTTCAGCAGCAAAGGCAACTTAGTTCATGGATACCTACTGTGTTTCAGTAGTTCGGACCCCTGCCATGCACAACACTTACTGGAAATGAGACCAGTCTGATGTTCCCAAAAGCCCCAGCTCAAGACATGCTCCACTTAAAGGAACACTCAGCTTGATTTTGGACTCTCTCCGCAGGTATTAGTCACAGCGGCAGCAGCTCCGTATCCCTGACAATGCACGGCGCAGCTGACTGAAGCGTGCCCAAAGTGCTCTCACATCAATGGACAGTGGAGGGACTACAAAGGGGCAATGGCTCACATAATTTCCCCCTCTCTTTGGCTTCAGGGGTCACCTCTACACTGCATTGTGCGACTGTTGGAGCAAAAAAAAAAAGGCATTCCAGGGCAGGACAAAGCTTATCCGATCTCTGTGTTGTATCAGTTTCATTGCTAAATAGGAAATGGCGGATATGGATACATTCATTTTTAGAAAGGACGTAATAGTCAGTAATGGGAGTGGAAAAGTCAATTTGTTCATGTTTCAACCATTTTTTATTATTGTTTTGGTCACATCGCAAATGTAGGCCAGTTTCAAAAAAAGTACAAAAAAAATAAAAAACTTATCAGCAATTGAAATTAAAATTAAAGGTGGGGTACCTGACTTTTCCATGAAAGAGTCTGGTGAACAAATCACACCGCAAAATATGTTTTTCATCTTATATTAAATTACATAATCTTTTGCATTCTTGTAATAAAGAACACTTTGAGTTTTATTTTTTTACTTACCAATTATACCAATCTTTGAAAGTGACAGAGGCCAAAAATACGTGCATGTTATTTTGTCCAATGGATTTCATCATATAGTTCAATGTTTGTATTTTAACTTTTTTATACAATTGTCTTTATTTGCATTATTTCAAGGCCTGACAACGCATGACAGATGGCAATGACAATTCAAAACAAAGAAGATTCCCCAACTCCACCCAAAAAAATTTTCTCTACAACCAACAAAAATCATACAAGCATCAGTCAATAATAATAATAATTAAAAAGTGTTTTAATCTCCTGCAACAACAACAACGGAAAAGGAGAGTTAAGAAAAAAAGGACAAAGGAAAAGATAGTGATAACACTTCATTAAATTATTATTAATTAAGTGACTGATGCTTTAATGATTATTTGGTTTGGTTGATAGAGAAAATTTGGTTTTGGGTAGAGGAGTTCGGGGAATCTTCTTTGTTTTGTAATTGTCCAAATTGAGCGCCATCTGTCATCGAGACGTTGTCAGGACTATAGCATATATACATGCAAATAAAAGACAATTGTAAAAAAAAGTTAAAAATATCAAACCATTTATACTATATGATTGAAGATCGCAATAGGACAGAAATAACATGCACTTATTTATGGCCTCTGTCACTTTCAAAGATTGTAATAGTATGGGTAGGTATAAAAATAAAGACTCAAAGTGTTTTTCTTATTACAAAGAATGCAAAAGATTTCTATGTATTTTAAATATATATGATGAAAAACAAATTTGGCGGTTTTGATTTGTAGTAATCACCTACGAATACGCTTTCATAGGCGAAAGGATTCAGGTAACGCGCCACCTTTAATGTTTAAATTCAATTGCTGAAATAAGAGTTTTAGTATGTTATTTTGTACATATTTTTGAAACTGGCCACAGTATGGCAATGTGACCAAAAGCAAATAATAAAAAATAGGTTGGAAACATGAACAAATGTGAACTTTTCCACTCCCATAACTGTACGCTATTACGTCCTTGTGCCCTAAAAATGAAAGATGTATCCAAGTAGAACTGCCATTTCCTATTTAGAGAGCAAATGAACAACTGATTGGTACAACACGAGAGTATCGGTATAAAGCACGATGTTCCGAGCCCTTTGGAGAATGCTGCCATTTTTTTTTGCTCCAACATTCCGCAGCAATGCAGTGTAGGAGGTAATGAACCCTGCGAAGCCAAAGAGAGGGGGATATTATGTGGAGTAGGGCGCAATGCCCCTAATGTGTATACCTCTTCCCTCGAGTTCCATTTTGATAGTGAGGTAGCCACTTTGGGCACGCATTCAGGTCCAGCTGGCGGCGTGCATTGTCAGAGGATAGCGGAGCTAGCGTTCCTGTGAGGGGGTGCTGTGACTAATCGACTAGCGAGAGAGTCCAAAAATCAAGCGCTGAGTGTTTCCCTTTAAGTTGGAGCATTCCTGAGAGCGCCTGGGCGGCCTTTTGGAACATCATACTGGGTCTCATTTCCAAGTAAGTGTTTGTGCATCGGGGCGAGGGTTCCGAACGACTGACACACAGTGAGGATAGCCATGAACTTAAGTGTGCCTCTTGCTGACTAAAAGTGTCTTTGAGGTTGCTCTGAGGGTTTTTTGAACCACCAAAGCTCCAACGCGCGGTAAGAAGATTTTGAGAAGTGGCTGCATTCTGACGTTTGATTTCACAGGGAGGACTGACACCCGATGTTCTCAGGTGTGCAATATTCTATTAAAAACAGAACACTACGATGGCGTGCTCAGTTGACACAAAATTTGAAAGTTTTTCTTCATATACTCACTCATATTATCTTAACAGTTCTTATTTAATTAGCAGCTGGAAATTTGGCATGTCTTATTAGTGGTGAAAAGATGAAGAGCAAAGAGTTGAGAATTGCAGCAGTCAAAGGTGGCGGTGTATGAGCCTTTCACCAAGTACAAGATTGTTATTCTCTTCTCTCATCTTTACCCACTAGGTGTGAATTCCAAATTATTGGACGGTATCTGGATGATTTCGTTTATGAAAATAGGTTATATATTCGAGGGATCAAGTGCTTCCGAAATTTAGGGAAGTCCTGAGGTAGTCTCTGGCTTAAACGCTGAGAGCCTCGGCCCCCTAGAGCGACCCGGCAATGGAGATGAAGCCGAGAGAAGAAAAAGGGTAATTGGAGATGTGGAGTGGAAGTGGCTTCTAATATTCGAACTGTGGTCAAGAAATAGTAATGAGGAAATTAGTAAAACACACGCTGACCTGGGGACTCTTCTCGAGTAATATATAGGTAAGATAGACTTACACCGAGGATTACTCTATTTGAGTAATACCACCCATGACAATAGTAATGAAGTAATACAGAAGGATCAAATAATGTGTAAGGGGTACAATCGCCTCACAGAAAATGTATAGGTTTAGGCAATTATCTCAAAAATATGTGATTCTACCTTGTTTCACAAACTGAGTATTTGATTCTTCGTTTCAATAGTCCCTCCAGACAACTATTTCAGTAGCTATAAACAAATGTAATTGAATAATTCTAAGTTTGGTGTGCGGTCTTGGTTTTTCCTCGAAATTCCACCTTCTGAAAAAAAAAAAAAAAAAAGTTTTAATTTTATGGTCCAAAACGTGCTTAACTTTGCTGCTTAGTTTCCAGTTTTGCGCCATAATGGACTGGCATCTAATGCTAGCTAACCGGTATAAATAAACAAACCATGGGCGTTTCCCATTAGATGGGCGGCAAAACACATCACCATTTTTAGATCTAAAGACCTCACAACACTCTCCTAAAGTTACCTTAATGGATGTATTATAACTGAAGTGAATTATAATGTATTGGGGACGATGGAGCTCTATAGGGTATGGCAAGGTTATATACTAGCTATGAATAAAACTTGATCACACGCACGTACTTATCAGAATACCTGTGATTAAGCGGGTTGGTCAGTCACAGAAAGCACTCCCAACAGGCAATTAAGCTCTGGCTGAACACCTCTCGACTGGCTGAGCCCCCCACGAGATCTACCCCTCACCTCGACAACATGCGGGAGCTTTGTGGAAGACATCAGCTCCCAGGGGACAGCCACGCACAGGAAACACACCAGCTGGACCCTTGGGGCAGCACGTT